CAACTGAGGACGCATGCGCGGGAGTGTGGGGCAAGGGTTTGGCCAGGATCCGGATACGAAGGCCTGAAATCCCCGGCTTTCTCACTGGATGACCCGATGTAGGAAGTGTTAGATGACCTACACACGCATGCGCGGGTGTGACCGGACACTTCCAGTTTTCCAGAAAGGGAGTGTTTCCCGTCTGTCGCCAGTGGGCGGAGCATAATGTGCAGTTCTGACTTTTGAGACCCTCTGAAAATAGGCATCTGTCCAGGTTTGAGTGCATTTTTTTTGTTTTGTGACCATTTAAGTTGTCTAAGTAACATCTCGAAAAAACCCTTTTCCACCTCTTTTCTACAAATGCATTCTTTTTTCTTTTTTTTTTTTACAAATCCATTCTTTCTTGGCGTCTTTGGTAAGCACTGTCCTATACAGTGGGAATGGAGATGAATCAGTACCTGAGGGAGGAGTTTCCAGTAAAACAGGAAACAGCCCCTGTGGTTAGTGAGACAGGACAAACCTCTATGTGTGTAACGGGCAAAAGCTAGGAAATAATCCAGATTTGGGGGTGGCGGGGGGGCACGACAGCATTTGACCATGCCCTATGTACCCTTTCCCTCCCTTTTTTCCCCCGAAAGCATGTTTTAAATATGCTTATAAGAAGTATTCTGATTCACAGTGAAGCCTAAATTTGGCGAAAGCTGCTGGGAGTTGTTTTTTTTTTTGTATATCCTTTTATTGGTACATTTTAGGTGTACAATATAATGACATTCATCATTGGAAATATGCACCTTTACATACTCGCTTGGTTTTTATTTTTCCCCCTTCTCCTGCCCTCCCTTCAACCCCTCCATCCCTCCCTATTTATAAAGACTGTTTCCTTTTTTTGATTTTTCTCCTATTAATTCCATTCCCTTCTTTCCTTTCCCCTACCCCTCCCACTTCTCCTTCCCCTTTGCCCCTTTTCTTCTTATTTCACATTATCTATTATACCTTTTAGTCCTTATTTACACTTTCAGTTTCTCACACTAGGGAAACTATTC